ACTCCCAAGGGGGAGGGCGCACGCAAGCTGAGCCGGGGCCGATAGCCTCCCACTCCTCCTATTACTCCTGACCCTCCTGGTCCTCCTCCTCCTTCTCCTCATCCTCTCGGGTCGGATGAAGGGGGGGTTCGTGAAGGGCGGGGTGTTGGCGAGTCAGCTCACGTAGCTGACTTTCCCAGCGTGTCCTGGCGCCAGCGGCGCCAATGTTTTGAGGAAAACGTCCCGCGGCGGAACCGAAACCAGCTGCACGCAGCAGACATTGGCACCCCCCCTCTCTCCTTTCCTCCTCTCTCGTCCGACCAGATTCCCCCCTCCTGTTAAGGACTTGCAATATCCTTCCCCCGCCTGTGCCCGCCAAAATACAAGGAGTGTACGGGAGAAGAGGGGTGGGGTGCACCGGGGGGAATCGACATTCCCCCCAGGACACGAGAAGGGCAACATGTCGGACGGGAACGCTCGACGGAGGGAAAACAACGCATGGACACGTCAGCTGATGGGGGGATGGGAAGGGAAGGAGGATGAAGAGTTGAGGAGGAGGAGGAGGAGGAGCAGCAGGAGGAAGAGGAGGAGGAGGAGGAGGACGACGAGGAGGAGAGAGAGGAGGAGGACGACGAGGAGGACGAGGAGAAAGAGGAGGGAGGGGAGAAGGAGGGGGCGAGGAGGAGGAGGATCTCTTGACAGCAACGGGACAGCGGCCAACGATGCAATGGGCTGGCGGGCGCTGCCACCCCGAGGAAGGGTTATAAAAGCGCTCTGGGCCTGGCCGGGGAGAGGCTTGACGGCCTCGTCCCCTCGGACGCGGGGAGACGAGCCCGGGGCCCGCGAGCGACGGGAGCGCCCCGGGGCAGGCGCGAGCGGAGGTCTGCTCGGCCAGGGGCGCGCCCCTTCCTCGAGGCCGCGTCGCACATGTGCGCGCGGCCGCGGCGCGTGGGCCCCTCGGGGCGCGCCGCGCTCCGGCCGCGCCCTCGGAGCAGCAGTCGCGTGCAGGTGGCCGCCGCGCGGCAGGCGCGGAAGCAGCTCGGCTCCGTCGGGGCGCGGGGAGGCCGCGGCACACTGCCCCACTCGAGCCGACGACGTCAAGACCGGGCACGTGGGAGCCGCCACGGCTCCCAGGCAGGCCCGAGCGGCAGAACCAGCTGCAGTCCGATCCTGCGGGCAGCGCAGCGCCAGATGCTGGGCGGTCGCGCACACTCTGTGGCGTCGCGGCCTCGGGCAAAGCGCGGAGGCGCAGAATGTCGGAGAGCGAAAAAAAGGGAAGCGCGCGCGGTCGGCCCAGTCAGAAGCCAGGGACAAGGATCCACCCGAAAGGATCGACCGTGGCGCACGCGAGCCCGGGGCGAGGATGCGGGAAGAGAGACGCGGGGAGAGAGGACGAGGAGGAAACGGGAGGCCAAAACCTACAGTGCGGACACACACACACACACACACACACACACACACACACACACACACGCCAGGGGGGTCTTGCTCCAGACCTCCGCTGGGTGCCACTGTTTGCAGCAGCGCGTCCTGCGTGGGAGCCCCCGGCTGCCCGGAGCAGGTGCCAAAAACACCCAAGATCTGCTCCACGGGGGGGGGGGGGGGGGCGAGGGAGGGCCCGCGCCGATCGGCACAACAATGAGAGAAAGAACGCGATCGCCACGCACTCGTGGGCGCCAAGGGCCGCCTCCGACTCTCGAGGGCCCTCGTGCCACGGCGGCCCTCCGCTCTGGCCCGCCGCCGCCCAGGCCCAGCGGATGCCGGCCCGAGGAAACAAAAAAAGGGGCCGAGACGCGCGGCGAGGCCCGGCGGCGGACGGCCCGCGAACTCTTCGGCGCCGGTTGGGGACGCCCAGGGGTCATGCTCTGGAGGCCGTGCGGAGGCGCGGAGCAATGGGGCGCTGGGAAAAACAGAAAAAAACATGTTGCGCATGTGACGTTTGCCTTCGTAACACGCACGTTCAAGCAGGATCACAGCTCCTTCTCGCCACGTTCGGTCGCGGTGCGAAGCTACAGAATCGACGATTGCGTGTTCCTCGAGCTGCGGGAAGTTGGCGCCCCGACGCCCCTCCTCTAGAGGAGAGCCAATCGTGCCCCCGCGGCGATTCCAAGGCGACGAGGCGCTCTGTGCCTCGACGGTGCCCGCGGGGGGGGGTCATACCGAGCACCTGTTTTTTTGGAAAGAGAAAGGAACAAAACCTTTTTCTTTTCGCCAGAGTTGTGGAGCTGGACGTTTTGCGAGCAGCACCACGGAGGGCCCAGCGTCCGTCGGGGCAGAAGCGGGCCGGAGCCGAGGAGGAGTCCCCGGGCCCCGCGGCGGGGGGGGGGGGCGCTCGCGGGCGGCGCGCGCGGGGCCCGCCTCGGCGTAGAGTTCTGTCGGGCCTGTCCCCCTACAGGGGGATTTTCGACGAAAAATCAAAAATACCACCCAAAATATACCAAAAAGGTTAAAACATACAAAAAAATAATCCCCAGACCATGTTTTGTTTATTGTTTGGTTATGTGTGGGATATTTTGCTATTTTTCGGCGCCTCTGCGCACGCGCGCGGCTGCGCACGCGCGCGTCTGCGCACGCACGTCTGCGCGCGGGCCCACCACGTCCCCCCTCCCCGACGCCTGTGCCCGCGGGGGGGGGGGGAAGGCCCGCGGAGGGAGGAGAGCGCTCTTGCAGGGGCAGCCTCCTCGGCGTGGCCACGCCCTCTGCGGCGAGATTCAGCTAGGGGATCGCCTATACAGAATTGATGTGCCCCCAGATCTGCTCTTTCCCGCCGAACCTGGGAAGCATACATCGAAGAATCCGTAGATCTGCGGGACGTTCTAAGTATGTTGAGTTGATTCGACGGCACGATCAGGTATGGCCTCCTCGAGAAGCAGAACAGACAGGATGCACAGAACCTTTAAAGGCGCTCCGCGCGGATGTCTCGGATCTGGGCTGCCAGCCCCCTCCCTGGCGCGCGGGAAGCGCCGCCAGGGGCGGCGCCGGAGGCGCCGCCAGGGGGGGGGACCCGGCGCGGAGCCAAGAGGTCCGAGCGGAGCGCCAAGAGTCTGTGGCTGTGCCGTGCTGCTCCTTCTTCGAGAGAGGGTGGCCTCCTCGCTCGGGGCAGGACTGAACCTGAACGGTGCTCTTCGTTTTCGTGTTGCCTTCGTATTGCTTTTCGTTGTCCCTCGTTTGGTCTTCGACCCGCGCTGTGCCGCAAAACGGAGTCGAAACGAAACGGCCCACGAAATCGCCCAAAAAAGCACCGTTCGGGTCCAGCCCTGGCCCGGGGTGCTCGACCGCCCCCCCGAGGCCACCAAAGAGGTCGACAGCGGGCGCGCCGCGAGAGATCCCTCCTCGACGGGAGAGCGGCGGCCCGCTCCGCGGCGCGGGCCCTCGCGGCGCCGGAGGCGAGGAGCCCACTGTGACTTAAAGGGCCCAGGGACACACACACACACACACACACATACAGGGCAGCTTTTAATATAGGATTCTTAATACATGACTAATGTATGAATAAATATATGCATGAACTCATCGTTGTTTGTAGTACTCAGCCCCTGCATGTTTAATGCACGATCCGCACGCGTAGCATGTATTAAAAACGGCACTGTATCTCCATATATAATATATACACAAATCCCAGAATGCCCCACATTCTCCCATCGCTTTTTGGTGGTCGTCTTCCCCTCCCACTTCCCATGTGATCCCAGGTCCTCCCTCGGGAATCGACGCTGGATGTTGCCTGTGCGCTTTCCCCCTCCCGAGACCTGTGGCAAAAAGGCGAGTAGCTCTGCATCTCGGGGGGGCAGCGCGCTCGCGCCATAAGACTGACATCCTGCACCCCCCCTCGAAGTCAAGCGCAAGTTCTTCCCGCGACGTGGCAGCGCCCAAGGACCTTCGCATTACTAAACGAGCAATGACAGAAACATAAAAACTCGGAGGTCCGCGCAGACCTCCGAGTTGTTATGTTTCTGTCACTGCTCGTTCCCCGAAGAAATTCCATGCTCGCGCCGGAATTGGCAACTGGAAACACAACAAAATCTAACCCCGTGGGCCGCTTTTCGCGCGTCGACCATCATGAAAAGCTCGTGCTTGATTTCGAGGAGGGCTGGACCCCTCTCGCCCGTCCCTTCCACTGCGTGGTTATGTTCACGATCCCCGCCGACGGGTATCGTGGCGGACTCGGGGCCAGGGGAGGAGGAAGGAGGAGGAGGAGGAGGAGGAGGAGGAGGAGGAAAAGGAGGAGGAAAAGGAGGAGGAAGAGGCGGAGGCGGAGGAGGAGGAGGAGGAGGAGGAGGATCGAGGATCGAGGAGGAGGACCAGCAGCAGGACCAGGAGCAGGAGTGGGAGGTGCGGGAGGAGCAGGGCCGGGGAAAAAAAAACGGAGGAGGAAGCGCTCGGATCCAGAAAAGAGGCCCGTCCGCGCTGGGGCGAGAGCGACATATGCTTAGAGGAAGGAAAAACACACATAAACATAAATTTTCGACGGTCCGCGCCGACTTCTTGGATTTGCGCTGGGCCCCCCTCCCTGGCGCGCGGAGCGCGCCGGGGGCGGCGCCGGAGGCGCCGCCAGGGGCCCCCCGCGCAGATCCAAGAACTCCGCGCGGAGCGCCGACAGTTTATGTCTAGGTGGTTTTTCCTTCTTCGCACTCTGAACGATGGGAGTAGAGTGCCGTTCCTAAAATGAGGGCAGCGCTGCAGCAGGATCGCCAATCTGAGACATCGGAGAAACCTTACGATGGAGAAAACAAGGGGAAGGAGAAACTTTTGAACTCCTGTGAAAAAAACAATCCGTGGCGGGGAAGGCCACTCCCACGCTACCTTCGGGGGAGAGGACGGCAGTTTCCAGATTGGAGAACTCGCTGAGGAGGATGCGGGAAAGTGCTGGGGCGGAAGGGCAGACGCATGGGGCAGGGGGGGTGGGACGAGCAGGAGGAGGTTGAGGACGGAAAAGGGGGAGGGGCAGGGGCAAGAGGAGGGGGAGGAGCGAAGGAGGAATCTGGGAGAAAGGCGCAGGAGGCACCTCGGAGGGAACCTTGGGCCCCCCGTCCTTCTGCGGCAGCAGCGTGAGGTACGCCGGCTCCGCGAGCAGGACGCCGGAGAGGTCGGCCCAGACCCCGGAGAGGGCGTCCTCTGGCCGTCGCTCGGCCGCGCACACTCCCCGTGCGCCGGCAGTCGGGTTTGCACGCGCGAGAGGGCGCGCGAGAGGGCACACTGAAGGGGCCCACAAGCACACGAGTAAATACACACAAATAGAATTGTTCCCCATAGTTTTCCATATTTTCTGGGTTTGTGTCTTCCCCCCCCACACTTCCCATAGTTTCCCATATTTTCTGGGGGAATCGACGATGGATTGTGTCTGTGTGTTTTTTTTCCCTCCTGACACACGACCCTTTCGAGGGTCACGTCGCCACAGAAATGTACGAAGCACGGGTCGCGGGGCACGGGTGCGTGCAAGACTCATATATCCATAGCCAGTGCCTCTTGGACTCTTTTTGTTGGAAGCGGCGCCGCAAGGCCGAGGCGCACGGGATATGGACAAAAATCGAGCCTCTAGGGGGCAAATTTATCCATATCCAGTGCGCCTCGGGCTTCCTGGGAAGGGAGCCCGAAACTCCATACTGCAATGGATATAGACAGAAGTATTTCGGGGAGACGTAAGACCCGGGTACGGGAGACTCGGAAATCCCCGACGAGGTCGTCAAAAAAATGACGAGGCCGAGCCTGCATTTTGACGAGGCCTCCCGCTGCAGACATCCCACGAAACTCCTCCTCGTCAAAATCCGAGGCGCGGTCGTCAAAAAACGATGGCGAACCCGAGTCCTGGCAAACCCGGGTCTTACGCTCCCCCGAGTATTGCCAGCAACGGGGCACAGGGGGGCCCTTGATCTGGCAGGGTGGACCGGAGAGGGCACGCGAAGGGCTCCCAACTTCGCGCTCTCGCGCTGCGCGAGGCGCGAGAGCGCGAACAACTTCCCGCTCTCGCGCCGCCTCCCGAGGGAGAAGAGGAGCAGGAGGCATCGGAGCCGAACCGCGAAGCGCGAATAACTTCGCGCCCTCGAGGGCGCCCTTGCACATCGCCACAGAATTGTACGAAGCATGGGTCGCGGGACACGGGACACGAGGGTACCCTTGATCTGGCAGGGTCGACCCACTAGTCCGGGCCGCCTGTATTCGGTCCTGTGCGTGTTTTTTCTTGCTCGATGGTCCATTTGGACGCCCGAAATGGATACGGAAAGAATGGGCACAATGCCCAACAACAAATGTTGTCCCAAACCAACAGCGGCCGCTGTTGGGCAGGCGGCCTTCTGTCTCAAATGGACACAGTCCGCGGCGACACCGACAGCGAGTCCTGTCCAAAATGAACAGGAACTGCTGTTGGGCATTGTACCCACTCTTTCCGTCCCCATGTCGTTCGTGCAGAGTCCAGGATGCTCTTCGAGGGCCCTCGTCGAGAGAAAAAAAGTGCACACGTCCGAGCGATGCCAAATCCTCGACCTAGCTGCCCCGATACGCAACACGCAACACGTGGCGTATTGATACGGAGCTCAACGCGTAGGCTGAAAACGTAGGTCCGACGCGATACGTTCGCCAAAACGTATACGTGGCCCAATACGGGGAGCCAACACGCAACGCATTGACACGGACGTCCTAAACACCGCACGTGTGGCGTCTCAGAATAGGCGCATCGAGGCAGCCAAGACTCGGTTTTATGCGTGCTTGTCTTGCTCGATGGCCCAGGATGCTCTTTGAGGGCCCTCGCCGAGGAAAAAAAAAAAATTGGGGATGGACAGACCCCCTTTTAGTGAAACGTGGTTTGGTGAAAACGACCTGAGGCCCAAACCTGGCGGGCGCCAAGCTGGAAAATAACGGCCACGTCGCCATCTCGAGAACCGAAAATGGACAATTCACTAATCGACGTGTCACTGTTGGAGGTTCTGTCCGCCCCTCGAGCCTCCTCCCGGCCTCGTTCTGAGGCTGCGCCCCCTTCTCCTCCCCCCATCTCTGGTTGATTCAAGCTTCGCGCGGCCCGCTTAGCTTCGACCGGAAGAGGTGCGCTCTCGACCCGCGAATCAAAAAAAGTGCTTTTCTTGCTCGAGGGCCCAGGATGCTCGTCGAGGGCCCTCGCCGAGAAAAAGTGCCCACGCCCGCGCGATGCCAAAAAAGTCCTCGCCGACCACGCCGACGCTCACCTGCTGGGAGGCCGCCCGGGTCTCCGGGAAGGGGGCGCTCAGCACGGTGAGGCAGGCCTTGGGGTGCGGTCGGGCGCGTCGGCGGGTCCCCCTACAGGGGGGATTACGGGGCGAACCAAAACAAGATGCCCAAAACATACCCCCCAACATGCCCAAGAATGGTCACAAAAAATCGTCCCCCGACGATTTTTTGATCATCGTTGGAGATCCCCCCCCTGCAGAGGGACGGGCCCGACTCAAAAAACTGGGGGCGGCGCGCCGACGCTTCACGCCCCGCACTGGCGCTGGCACTGCCCGGCCACAGGCTATATAACTAGGGCCCGGGGTCGGCGCAGACGCCCTCCCGCCTCGAGGAACAAACGTAATGCCAGGAGCACGAACCTGCCGTCGCTCGGACGTCCCTGCCCTGTGCGTTGCTCGGCTTGGCGCGTGCTTTCTTGCTCGATGCCCCAGGACGCTCTTCGACGGCCCTCGCCGAGAGGAACACTGCACACGTCCGAGCGAGGCCACGTAACGTAAACTTTCGGAGCTTCGCGCGGCGGATTCGGACTGCCGCTGGACGCCCCGCCGGGGCGCGCGCGGAGCGCGCCAGGCGCGGCCCGCGGGAGGCGCCGCCGGGGAGAGCTCCGGCGCCGACCCACCAGAAATCCGCGCGGACCTCCGAGGGCATACAGTCGAGGCGTTGACCTAAGGAACCCTAAATAAGGAACGAGGCCCTTTCTGCTCCACACGTTTCCCTTCGATGTACCACTGAAAACCTGAGGAAAAAACCGAGGGCAAACTGTAAAACAATCGAGGAACACCGAGCCCCTCCCCAACGAAAAGGGGGTCCTTCTTCAGGGCCCCGACTGCATGGCCGACTCCGGAAACCCCGAACTCAGAAGTGTGCTCATCTCTTGGGGCGCAAAGTTTACGCCTGCCGACTTCCGCCGCCCGTCCGCCGACGGAGGCGGCCCCGTGTCACTTTCGCCGACCTTCCACCGCCCTTCCGCCGCCCTTCCGCCGCGGAGGAGACGACGACGCCCTCGATCCTCGAAGGCAAGGCCCTTCTTGGAACGACCCATCTGTTTATGCCAGGTAAGGTCGTTCCCCGACCAACGGAGCCGCGAGGCTGTATACAGTATACGCCGATGTTGGGCCCAGGAGTGTGCCCGACCAGGATCGGTCCTGGTGAATTAGCTGGCTTATGTTGCATCCTCGGGGGACCTTGTCTGTCCCGTCGCGGCCCTATCCGCGTCGAATCGGTGTCGAATCCATGTCGTGCTCGTCGGATGCCGTGTCGGATCCGCGTCGAGTCCGCGTCGAATGCACGCCAAATCCGCGTCGGGCACGAGGAAAAGAAACCGATTTGGGGGACAGGCAAGGTTCCCCGAAGATGCAACGTAAGCTGGCGTCTCTAGAGGAAAGGTAAAACGCCATACATATAAACCGTTTGCGCTCCGCGCGGGGTTCTTGGATTTGCGGTGGACCCCCCCGTGGCGCGCGGAGCACGCCACGGGCGGCGCCAGAGGCGCCGCGAGGGGGGGGCCACAGCGCGGATCCAAGAAATCCACGCGGAGCGCCAAAGGTTTCTATGTATGGTTTTTGTTTGCTCTTCGAGTCTCCCAACAAGCCGCCACGGCCAGCTCGTCCGTGACGGCCGCTTGCGCAAGCACCGCCGAGGGCACGCGGAGCTCGATGCCGGCAGCGTTGCCGAGCGTGACGTTGACGTCGCCCGCGCCCGGGAGCAGCGCCGCCGCTATGGTGAAGCCGACGCCGGCGGTTGTCACGTTGTAGTGTTGGACGCAGGCGGAGCCACAGGTCGGGGCCCCAGTTCGAGCACCAGTTCGAGCCCCAGTTGGAACCTTATATAGAGAACAGAAATTCCCACCCTCAGGAGAATCACCCTAACACGCGAAGCCGTTTAGTAAGCGCACCCAAAGAAGGAATCGAACAGGGCAAGGCTGTTTAGTAAACGCACAGGGACGCTTAGTAAACGCCAATTATCAGGTCAGGGTGTTTTTTTTCCTTGATAGTTGGAAACGCAGACGGCATTGGAGCCCAAGTTGGAGCCGCAGTGGTATTGTCTGCTGGATCTGCTGTTGTCATTGGAGCCAAAGTTGGAGCCGCAGTGGTAAAGTCTGCTGGATCTGGTGTCGGCATTGGAGCCCAAGTTGGAGCCGCAGTGGTATTGTTTGCTGGAGCTGGTGTCGGCATTGGAGCCCAAGTTGGAGCCGCAGTGGTATTGTCTGCTGGAGCTGTTGTTGGCATTGGAGCCCCAGTTGGAGCCGCAGTGGTACTGTCTGCTGGATCTGGTGTTGGCATTGGAGCCCAAGTTGGAGCCGCAGTGGTATTGTTTGCTGGAGCTGGTGTCGGCATTGGAGCCCAAGTTGGAGCCGCAGTGGTATTGTCTGCTGGAGCTGGTGTCGGCATTGGAGCCCAAGTTGGAGCCGCAGTGGTATTGTCTGCTGGAGCTGGTGTCGGCATTGGAGCCCAAATTGAATCCGCAGTGGTGGTGTCTTCGGCCACCGTGTCCTTGTCCTCCCAGGGAGTGGTCGTAGCCGCCGGTGCCGAAGACGCGTTTCCCACGAGAGACAGCACGGCCTCTACTGCACTGCGCTGGTAACCAACGACAGAAGCAAGCAGCGACGACACATTCGCCCATGCCTCTGGCGACAGCGGGTCCGCCAGCAGTGATGCGGTCGCGTCAGCACCTGCCGCCGCAGTGCACGTCGAGGCCGCAGCCAGAAGTGTCAGTGTCAGGCTCCTGCGCGAGGCGCGGCAGCGACCCGCGCCTGCTGCGCCACGTGCCATTCGGCACCCTGTCCCTGTGCGGAGGTCATATTGAAGAGGCGCAGCAGGGCTCGAGCCGGTAGGACATGTCAGCACAGATGCGCCACAAAGAGGGGATCTGGAGAATGCTTCTTCACCTTCACGTCCTGCCTCTCCTCCGCGTCATCGCCACAGTCGTCCTCATCTTTTTCCTCCTCCTCGTACTCCTCCTCCTCCTCCTCCTCCTCCTCCTCCTCCTCCTCATCATCATCATCATCATCACCATCACCATCACCACCATCATCATCATCACCATCACCACCACCACCACCACCACCACCATCATCATCATCATCATCATCATCCTCATCCTCATCATCATCATCATCATCATCATCCTCATCCTCATCCTCATCCTCATCCTCATCCTCATCTTCATCCTCATCCTCATCCTCATCCTCATCATCAGCAGCATCATCATCATCTTCATTTTCATACTCATCAGCCTCATCATAATCATCAGCATCATCAACATCATCGTCATCATCATCAGCAGCATCATCATTGGCCTCAGTATTATCGTCCTACTCATCCTCGTCCGCTTCGACATCAGCATGCTCCTTGTCATTATTATGATGATCCTCCTACTCATCGTCTCCTTCGGGTCATCGTGCCTACCTTTCTCATGCTGCGCCATCTGAATCGTCTCTCCTCCTCTCCGGATCCCTTCATCACTCGTCTCCTGGATCCGTGATGCTCCTCTCTTGGATCTCTTCTGTCCTCACCTCTGCCATCCTGGACCTACTTCTCAGCTTGCTGATTCATTCTACCTCCCCTTCGCGGACCTCCTCTGCCGGATCCAAGAGTCGCCTCGCCTGGCACTGCGTTTGCTCCTCTCATCCGGCCTGGACTCTCTCCTCTCCTAGTGTGGGGAGAGTTTGGAGGGTTGTTTTGTGGTTTGTCGTATGTGGGTGTATATGGGGGTGTGGGTGGAGGAGGTAGGAGGTAGGAGGGGAGGTAGGAGGGGAGGGGGGATAATAAGTAAAGGGAAATCACATATCAAATACTCTCCTCCTGGCTAGAAACTGGGCGTTCGGGAGGGGGGCGGACCAGAAGAGTACCCGGGAGAGCAGAGGAGGGGATCCACGAGAGGAGGGGGGCAGCGCGGGCACCGCCGTTGCAGGTTGAAGACCCCTCGACGACGACGACGACGACGACGACGACGACGACGACGGCGATGACGCCGACGTCGATGAGGGCGACGAGAACGAGGGATGACGACGACGTCGAGGACGACGAGCCCGACGAGGGCGACGACGCCGACGCCGAAGACGACGACGACGAGAGCCGCCGCGGGAGGGCGAAGCGGCGCATCCTCGGGCAGCACGCGCCACCAATGGCGGTAGCCGCGCTGGGCGTCCCGCCTGCACGGCAGGGCCCCGAGGGCGCTCAGCGCGGGCGCGGGGCGCCTCGGGCGAGGCGGCGAGGAGGGGGGGAGGAGGGGGAGGAGGAGGAGGAGGAGGAGGAGGAGGAGGAGGAGGAGGAGGAGGAGGAGGAGGAGAGGAGGAGGAGAGGAGAGAAAGGAGGAGGAGGAGGAGGAGGAGGCGGAGGAGGAGGAGGAGGAGGAGGAGGAGGAAGAGGAGGAGGAGGAGGAGGAGGAGGAGGAGGAGGAGTGGGGGAGGAGGAGAGGAGGAGGAGGAGGAGGAGGAGGAGGAGGAGGAGGAGGAGGAGGAGGAGGAGGAGGAGGAGGAGGAGGAGGAGGCGGAGGAGGAGGAGGAGGAGGAGGAGGAGGAGGAGGCGGAGGAGGAGGAGGAGGAGGAGGAGGAGGAGGAGGAGGAGGAGGAGGAGGAGGAGGAGGAGGAGGAGGAGGAGGAGGAGGAGGAGGAGGAGGAGGAGGAGGAGGAGGAGGAAGAGGAGGAGGAGGGAGGAGGAGGAGGAGGAGGAGGAGGAGGAGGAGGAGGAGGAGGAGGAGGAGGAGGAGGAGGAGGAGGAGGAGGATTGTCACGGCTTTCGTTTAAGGCACTGGTAATGTTGTACCGCTTCGTGCCCTAACAATTGCGGCATGCTAAAACCACCGCGTGAGGGGTGAACGCATGAAAGGCCAATGCCACAGCATGAGGGGGTCAACGCATGAGGGGCCAATACCCCAGCATGAGGGGGTAAGGACATGAGGGGCGGAAGCCCCGGCATGATGGGTCAAAGCGTGAAGGGCCAATGCCCCAGCATGAGGGGTCAAAGCATGGGGGGTCGAAGTCCCGGCATGAGGGGTGCGGCCCCATGAGGAGCTCCACCGAAGGCCCCTGCAGCAGGGGCCGCATGGCAGCCCCGCACCCATGTCCGCACCCCGTCACACGGTTCGCGGCTCATAGAGAGCTCAACCGAGGGTCCGAGCCTCATGGTCCGCATGGCGGTCCCGCAGCCATTCCGGCGCACCCCTCACACTGTTAGCGGCCCCATAAGGGGACCCCACCGAAGGCCCTAGCGACAAGATCCGCAAGGCGGCCCACACCCATTGCAGCACACCTGTCATTCATTTCGTGGCCCCACAAGAGTTCCACCGAAAGCCCCAGCGGCAGCAGGGTCAGCATGGCGGCCCCGGATCCACGTCGCCCCCTGACCCTATGGGGAGCTCTACCGGAGGCCCCAGCTTCAAGGTCCGCATGACGGCCCCGCGCCAATGTCCGCACTCCCCTCAAACGTTTCGTGGGCCCGGAGGGAGTTGCCGCTCCTTCGTCCCGCCTGCCCTGCGGTACCTGCGCCTGCAAATAGTTGCGTCATTCGCCTGGCTGGTGCGGAGCATGCTAGCCTACGTGAACCCAAAGCAATGTGTCTGCAGCATTATATGGCGTCCAATCTACGTGGAGCAATCTATGTGGTGCTATCCACCTTGCAGAACTTGAGGTTGTCAACCCAAATGCTCGCGCAATCATCAAGCCCACCCACCCGCAACTCAGTTTGAAAGACCCATGCGGCGGCGCTGGCTGGCGCATCGCTGCGGCCGCGCTAGTGAGATCAGGCTCGCGCGCAGAGCGGTCAACTAATTTTAGTCCGGATATAACTTACAAATCGTTCCCAGACATTTATTTTGACTATTTCTCCATATTCTTCCTGTAGACAGACGTGCCCGACTTAAAATTAGTTTGGCGCGACCGACGCGGCCGGGGTGGCACTGACCCCAGGGGCTTCCCAGCGCGTCTTGCTGGCCGCGCTGACGCGCAGGCATTTCAGTGCAAGTAGGTGACTCGGGCGGGCAAGGCATCATGGCCACGTCGACAACTGCAGACATGGACGATGGCGAAGGCAAGGCCGATGACGGCGCCGCTGTTGGTCACGCCTTTGACGGCGATGGTGTCCACGTGTCGGTGATGCAAGTTTTGAAGGATTCGGTGGCGGTTGACGTGTCGGTGTCCGTGCCGTGTCTACGACGACGACGAAGACAACCACGACGACGACGACGACGACAACTACGACGACGACGACGATGGCGACGAGGACAACGAGGCCGACGACGACGACGAGGACGACAAGAACAACGACGACGACGACGACGACGACGACGACGAGGACGACGACGACGACGACGACGACGACGACGACGACGACGACGACGACGACGACAATAACGACGACGACGGCGAGACCGACGACGACGACGACCACGACGACGGCGGCCAAGCGCTGGCCTCTCGGCCGCCACCCTGGCCACGCCGCCGGCGGCGCGGCGCACCAGCCCGAGCATCGGCTTGGGGGGGGGGCGCAGGGTGACTCCCGCCACCCGTCTGCCCGTGGCCCCTGCGCCTCGCGTCTCCTTCCTGCTCCGTGCCGCTCCTCCTCGTCCTCCGCCTCGTCCTGGTCGCCCCTGCCCTCCTCCGTGTCCCGTCTCCTCCTTACCACGTCCGACCTCCTCGTCATTGTCCTTCGAGCATCTCTCAACCTGGCTCGTCCGCCTCCCCTCCTCATCACTCATCATCATCATCAGCAGCATCAGCATCAGCATCATCATCATCATCATCATCATCATCATCGTCATCATCATCATCATCATCATCATCATCATCATCATCATCATCATCATCATCATCACCAGCATCAGCATCATCATCAGCATCATCATCAGCACCAGCATCAGCATCATCATCATCATCATCATGATCATCATCATCATTATCATCATCAGCATCGTCGTCATCGTCATCGTCATCGTCATCATCATCATCAGCATCATCGTCATCATCAACATCACCATCATAAGAATAACCAGCTTCGTCATCATCATCATCATCATCATCATCATCATCATCATCATCATCATACGCATCGTCCTCGTTACCATCATCATCAGCATCATCATCATCATCATCACCAGCACCACCATCCTCATTATCATCATCATCGTCATCATTAGTATCATCCTCCTCTTCGTTATCATCACCAGTCATCATCATGCGCATCATCACCAGTATCATCAATATCAACATCAGCAGCACCATCAACCTAGTCATCATCCTTGCCAGCTGCCTCAGCATCGTACTCATTATCAAAGTTATACTCGCCCGGCTCAACATGTTCATCATGCGTCCCTCCTTCTCTGCTTACCGACTCGTCCTCCTCCCCCAGAACTTAATGGCCCCTCACCCCGCTGACACCTCACCGCCTCCTGGTACCCCCCTTGGGATCAGTCCTCTCACTCGAAGCTACCGATGACGCTGTGTCCTCTTGTATGGGCGATGACTAAACCAAGACCGACGCACAACTACAATGTAGCAGCATGTATACAAGAGTGCATTGGCGTTTCGCGCTGTTCACCTTGGTCCATCAGGTTAGGCATGCGGGCGGAAGGGAAGGTCATGCAGCACATATAGCGTTAACTCCACATTGCATTTTTCAGCGTTGACCGCTTCGCTCCTTACCTCATGTGTTCTGCTTCTCTCATTCTCGCACTACCCAGTGAACCCTTTCCTATCCTCCGCAGTTTTTGTTTGCGCCTCTTGGGTGCCCCGCGAAAGCTTGTGAGGGCTGCGTGGGGCCTTCTGAAAACCTCCGGGGATCCTCTGGGAAATTCCGCAGGCCGCCCTGCTTCTGACTGCGGTCTACTTGAATGACCAGGTCACGATTTGGAGTGCATTGGGGGGCGTCTTGGGGCCATCTTGGGCCGTCATCGGGCTTTCCCCACGCCATGTTGGGATCCTGTTTGGTTGTCCTGGGGCTCTACTGGACTGTCTGGGCCAAACCTCGTGGGCAGTCTCGGACGCCAAAAAGACAGAAGAATCGAGTATTCACGCAATCGCTCAAACACCGATGGAAGATCACTTGTGTCCAACCCTACTGCCTTGGGTAATCTTTTTCAATCGAGCACTGTGTTCGCATCCTCCGTGCTCCTCTCTTCTCTTGTTTTCCTTATCCTCCTCTCTTCGCTCCTCCTCTTATCTCTTGCCGTTTGTACGGTTTGCCCCCGCCATCCCTGGGCGGCTGCAATCGGCGAAACGGTCGCCGCGTTCGACGGCTGCTGGTGGGTCCAGCGGAGTGAGGCACCGCCCAAAATCAGATTTGACCTCGCCATCCTTGGGGAGCTGCGATCTGCGAAACTGTCGGCACGTTGGAGGGCTCCTGGTGGGTCCAGCGGGTTGGCGCACCACCCAAATTTATACTAGACCTCGCCATCCCTGGGGAGCTGCGGTTTGCGAAACAGTCGGCATTTTCGAAGGCTGCGGGTGGATCCAGCGGAGCGAGGCACCACCCAGATTTAGATTAGACCTCGCCATCCCTGGGGGGCTGCATTCTGCGAAACCGTCGCCACCTTCGAGGGCTGTTAGTGGGTCCAGCGGAGCGAGGCACCAGTCATATTCATATTAGATTTCGCCATGGGGGTGCGATCTGCGAAACAGTTGGCACCTTCGAGGGCCGCTGGTGGGTCCAGCGGAGTGAGGCACCACCCAGATTCAGACTAGACCGCGCCATCCCCGAGGGGCATCGATCTGCGAAACTGTCGCCACTTTCGAGGGCTGCTGGTGGGTCCAGCGGGGTGAGCCAACACCCAGATGCAGATTAGACCTCGCAACCCCTGGGGGGATGCTATCTGCGAGGAGTGCGCCACGTGCGAGGGCTCCTGGTGGGCCCAGCGGGGTGAGGCACCACCCAGTTTCAGATTAGACCTCGCCGTCCCTGGAGGGGCGCGATCTGTGAAACCGTCGCCACTTCCGAGGGCTGCTGGGGGGTCCAGCGGAGTGAGGCACCACCCAGATTCATATTAGACCTCGCCATCCCTGGGGGGAGGCTGTGATCTGCGAAACCGTCGCCACGTTCCAGGGCTGCTGGGGGTGCCAGCGGGGCGCCGTCGCGGGCCGCCCGCAGATCCGGCGGGACGCCTTCGATCGCTTAGTTCCCGCATTGAGGAGTGCAGGAAAAGAACAAGGAAGCTGGCGGACGAGCTAGGCCTCGCTCGCTTCTTGCACTCACAAGTAGCAGGTGCTATCATTTTGTCGAACGCGGCGGCGGCTTGGCGCAGGCAACGTTGCATCTTTAGCGAGCGTACTACCGACAGCAGCAACACTCTTCGGTCTCCTCCCGTCTCTTTCGTCGTCGTCCTCTGCCCCCTGCCACCTTCCCTCTGCGGCTGCCGCGTTGACGGTTCGGCCCCCAACGCGTCCTTTTCCCGCCCTTCGTTCCCACCACCATGTCCTCGTCTCTCGTCTGTGTTGTTATCGTGTGAATCGTGCCACGTGAGCGCATCCCATGTATAGCGTGCACAGCAGATACCGGCGCCTGCACGGCCATTGTCCTGGCAAGCTTGGACCAACTCCTCTTGCCACTTGCTGCAAATTGGCTGGGCACGTCACAGGGTAACTCGGTTGTGCTTCCAATTCAGCTTGGGAGTCTTCTGCAGGCCGTCTTCAGATGCCTGGTGGGTGTCTGGGGCCACTCGGGACTCTCACCGGGCCCTTCGGCCGCCCTCCTGGCCGATCTTGGGCCCGCCGGCGAGGCCCAGCAGGAGCGTCCAGGAGCCTCGCAAAGCACAGGAGACCTTCTGCAGGGGCGTCCAAGGGGCCCCCAGGACCACGGATCCGGGGGGGTCCCGTTTTGGGGGGCAGAGGGTGTTCCGCCCCCCCCCCGGCGCCCCTCCAAAGATTGCAAAAATATAGGAACGCAATCGACGTATGATGTAAACGTGTGGGTGGAAGAGACCGCGCGCAGGCGGACGCCGCATGTGTCCAAGCTGCAGGCTGTCTGTGCGAGATCGATCCCGGACAGCTCGCAGTCGCAGGTGCACTCTGCCGTTGCCATACTCGACGGAGGCATTAGCCTGTCACCATGACCGTGCCGCACCAAGACGCCATATCTGGCGGAAGCTAGACCTGACTACCCTGATAACCTCACCAACGCCACAAGCTGGTCGAGAAGCGCTCCGCAACCCAGCGCTGACCACTGTCAACTCCAAATCGTATAAGACCGTACGACAATTACAAGCAGGCTCGCACCTCACACTATGCTTCGGCATACCGATGTGTCAGATGTCTACCTGGAAGCGTACGGCGTCCCAGTGGGCGGGAACTCTTCGCGCCGCTCCGATCTGGCGAGATCGAAATCTCGGCAGAAAGACTCTATAACGCGTGCCAGATACACAGACTGGGAAGTCTCACAACAATTTCTGGCTCACCTGTCCAATCGCGAGGAGTAGGAGGCGACGTTGGGGAAGGCGTGGTTGGATGCAAAGCTCGCCTCAGAACCAGAAGTCAGTGCTCCTGCAGCCCAGCAGGGAGGCTGGGGAGGAGATGAAGGAGGGGGGGATGAAGAGGTACAAGGAGCAATGATCATCGAACTTTCGGGCCAGGATCCAACTTCCAACCTCAACAGCATACCTGTTGGCTTCTAATCGGGGCTTAAATGAATATGTGCCTGTCTATCTTGTGTCAGCTATCACTGTAGGGGCAGTGCAGGCGTGCAAACGCACAGGCCCAGTCAGCACACCTCGGGTCCTCCCACAAGTCACGAGCGGCGAACATACCGTATCAACGCTCTCGCGGTCTGGACTCCGGGGGCGCGACCTCGCGGATACGCGGTCGCAACGATACGCTCCGCGACGGGCATCCGCGCAAACAGCTACCCGTACCCGCGGGGTCGCGGCCGAGGGGGCCCGGCCCGCGAGGCCGCGGATACGGATGCGCTTCTCGCCCACGGCAGGGGCCGATTGGCACCTGCCCGACTCGGGAGCGGCCAAGAGGGGGGTGTCCAAGAGGGGGGGGGTGCAAATCGTGACCGGCGGCATGTGCGCGGCCCCGTGGGGGAGCCAGGGACGTAATGAAATAAGAAGAGGCGCCATGAAATCTGGGGAACATCATGGCCCACGCCATGATATCCACCCCCCCCTAGTCATCACCCCCCTCTTTGCCGCCCCCGACCTACGGCAGCGCCCGATCTCCAAGAAGGCGAGGAGGCAGGCCAGGAGCCACCGCGGGGGAGTTGGCCGGGGCGGGAGGGGCACGGCCTCCTCCTGCGCGCGGCCCGCTCCCAGAGGCGTGCCCCCGCCCCGTTCTTCTCCTCCTCCTCTCCTCCATCCCTCGAAGGGAAAGCACTGCACCTCCTCCTCTCCTCCATCCCTCCTCCTCCTCTCCGCCATCCCCCATTCTTCTCCTCCTCTCCTCCATCCCTCGAAGGAAGAGCACTGCACCTCGGGGCGGGGGGGTCAGGCGGGAGGGTCGTGGTAACGGCGACCGCGGCGTGCACCCGCCAGGGTGCGTGCGCGCGCCACTGGCGCATCAATCGCCTGTGTGCACCACAGCATGCACGTAGGGGGCGCTCCAGGCCACCCCCGCCCCAGTACGATCGTTAGCGTTACCCAGGGGGAGGGGGGGTAGCGAGCGCTACCCTGGAGCGGAAAAGGAAACGCTCACCAAGGAGGGGGAGGAGGGGGAGGAGCAGCACGATCGGTCCAGCACTGCCCGCCCACCCCGCCCCGCAGCGCTTGCGGACGGGGGCCTCCGGAGCAGGGGTGTGCGCGCGGGGAGTTCTGTGCAGAGGCGCTCTGCTCAGGCCCTCTCGAGCCCAGACCGACCTTCGGCACGCGGGCACGAGTAGAAGAAGAGCACAACGGCATACACATATAAACTATTGGGCGCTCCGCGCGGGCTTCTTGAGTCCGCGCTGGCCCCCCCTCCCTGGCGCGCGGAGCGCGCCAGGGGCAGCGCAGGACGCCCCGCCGCGGGGACCCCGGCGCGGATCCAAGAAATCTGCGCGGAGCTGCGACAGTTTATGCTCATGCCGTTCTTCGACCGAAGGGAGGGAGGAGGGGGGGGCGGCAGGGCTCGGGGTGGTGGAGGAGAAGGGGGGCAGAGGCTTGCGGAGTGGGCGGAGGGAGGAGAGGGCGGTTCAAGGGGGCCCAGGGACACACCAGGAAGTGGACACAAGTCCCAAGATCCCCCCTAGTTTCCAACATTTTCTGGGTTCTCGTCGTCCCCCTCCCCGCTTCCCATAGTTCCCCAGATCTCCCTGGGGGTCGCCGATTCCTGGTGCCTCTGTGCCCGCTCCCCTCCTGCATGGTGGAGCACGAGGGGCGGGCGACGCGGCGAACGAGGGGGGGGGGCGGGCAGGGCGAGCGGACAGCACGAGCGGCGGGGGAGGGCCCTCGGGAGGCGAGGGCCGCGATGAGGGGGGAGGCCGGCGGAGGCGGCGTCGCGCGAGGGCGCGAGGGCGCCGCCGCGGAGCAAAGGCGGGGAGGGGGCGGAGAGGCGCGGCGTGCGGTCGGCCCCTGCGGGAGGGCTGCGCGGGGAGGGGGGCGAGGGGGGCCCGGGCGAGGCTCGAGGGCCGCGAGAGAGGGGGGGAGGCCAGCGGAGGAGGCGAGGCACGGGCGCCGGCGGCGCCGCGGAGCAGGGCGGGCGGGGGGGGGGGAGGAGGCAGCGTGCGGTCCGCCCATGCGGGGAGGGCTGCGCGGGAAGGGGTGCTTCGGCGGCAACCCACGGGGAGCCTCCCGGACCAGCCTGTCGGCTCCTGCGAATCGGCGCCCAGCGACGCCAGGAAGTCGACGCTCATCGACGCGAAACCGACGCTCCTCGACGCTGAATCGGCGCTGTCTCCTCGACTCCCAGACGCTACTCGACGATAATCGAGGCTGAAGACGGAATTGCGAGGGTATGGCAGGCTCCCATGGTTTGCGACCGAAGAATGCTGCGAGGGCCTTGGGCAGCCATGTTGGCGTTTTTCGAGTGGGGCTGGCCGGCGAAAGTTGCCAGGGATGGGCCGAAGGCGAAGGATGCAAGGGTAACCTTCGAAAGTTGCTCATCATTCCTATGCGGGTTGACCGTATGGGGAAAGCAAAGGAGTCGATCCCGTTCCCCACCTTGATGCAGTGCGCAATCTGCCATGACTGACTTGGGCATGGCTTCGAGACCTAATGCAACGCGTTGCCTACTTGCGCTGCCTGGCGACACAGAGCTGTCCTCCGCAGGACATCACCTGTTCTGGCCATGCAGGTCTGCCAGGAGCTCATGTGCTTTCACTCCTGCGGCTCTCTGGCTTGCACAGCCTCTGAGGTGCTGTGCCCCCCCAAACAACCAGTGCGGGCGATTGCTGCTTCGTGACTGGCGGTGGTGGTGGTGGTGGCAAGGTCATCCGATCCACGATCCTGGGTCGCGCTGCTTTCCTTCCGCTTGTCCTCCTCCCATCCCTGTCTTCTGTGGCGCGAAATGATTATGACGGGAGCCACGCCTTGACGCCCGAATCGAGACACGCGCCCGCTTCGAAAAAGAGGCCCCCATGGAGGCAGGCACGGCAAGTTTATCACGCGACGGCGTAGGCAATTGCTTCTGACACCGCGTGGATGGTTCAAGGTACCGTGCCTTACCGACAGCGCGAATCGCTCGAGGATCTTCTGACCAGGGTCAATCCAGACCCGGGTCAGCAGGAAACCAAAAAACTGCAATGCAGAAGAAAAACTGCAACACAGGTCTTCGCAAACCCAGGTCATCCAATAGGCGCGGCCGCCTCGCGGCCACGAGCGGCTCGCTAACCCGGGTCAGCCAGAGGGAGTCTTCGCAGGGTCCTGCAAGATCTTGCGCTCTGGCTGACCCCCGTTTGCATTGACCCCCGTCTCAAGGCTCCCGAATCGCTCGAGATTGGCCAATCCCGGGCCACTGGCGACATTCCACCTGGAGCGCCCGCGCCGGGGTCGCCGCCGCGCCGGCACGCCACGAACCCGCATGCCGCAAGCGGGGCCTGCGAGCCTGAAGGAGACCTGCAACTTTTGAGCGCGAGGATTGTGAAGGGGCCCTGGGACACACAAATACATACACACAAATAAAAGGATTCCGCATATTTTCGCATATTTTCTAGTTTTTTGTCTTCCCCCCCTCTTCCCATATTTGCCCATATTCTCCTGGGGGTCGACGATCAATTGTGTCTGTGTGTTTGTTTCCCTCCTGAGAGTGTGCCAAGTGTTCACCGGGCCAACAATTCTGGGTAGAGGTACTTGACTGTCACGGCTGGCCGGAGAGTTGACGAGGCTGGAAGGTGGAAGGACTGACGACTGAGGAGTCTGGGGTGCGACAGAGGAGAAGCGCGGAAGGCTGGCAGACGATGCTGCTGGACGCGTGTGGGCCGACGTAGAGAGCGGACTCGAATGAACCACACCCATCTCAGGTAGGTACGCCAGGAGGTGGTCGTGCCACTGCTCAGGCTGTGGTCACCACTGCCGGCGATGCACTCAACATCGACGGTGGCTCTTCGACGGCGCTCCGCATGCTGCACGCATGGACCCGCTTGCCTGCAGCCACGGCAGTAACTTGAAAGCCTTCGGGTTCCTGCTACATCTGCTGAGGCTCTGGCCGCGACGGGTACGAACCATGGCACCGCTCCTTCCCTGCCGGCGCACTTGCGACCATTGATGTCCCATCTCTCCTGTTGCTTCGGCAAAAGATAATAAGCCGAATGCTACCGCCCCATCATCTCGATCCATCACGCCAACGCTGAAGGCGCTCGGGACCAACTCCCCCTGGATCACCGCTGGCGCGCCCGACTTTGGTGCCCAACAGATGGGCAAAACACCCAACAGCAAACGTGGTCCAAATCCGACAGCGACCACTGTTGGGCAGGTGGCTTCTCGCCTTCCAGCGGACAACAGCCGCGGCGACACGACCTGTCCAAAACGGAGAGGTCTCGCAGTGAGCCTTCGTACCCATCTCGGCGGTGGACAAACCTCCCTTTTTGGTAAACCTCCCCTCAGTGAAAACGGCCTGGGACCGAACCCGACGGACCTGGACCCGCAAACATTCAGAGCGTGAATTACCTACCCC